CTGCCTCCCAAGTGCTGGGATTAAAGGCATGCACCACCACTGCCCAGTGCTTCCACAGATCTTAACTCAGATATATCACAGGAATGGCCCTGATAGTCTCTACTACTTTCAGAAACTTTACAAATCAGCCTACATCTCTCAAAATTCTTACTTCCAAGCTCCCACAACAGCTCATTAACCTTTTAGTACTTAGAGCTCCAAAAGCTGCCACAATCCTCCTCAGAACAACATGACCAGGTCTGTCACAGTGTTGCAGTTCCAAGCCAAGGCTTTGAGTCAACCTGAGCAGACAGGTCCCCCAAAGCAAGATTTATTGTGGGGCAGCACTACAGAAACTAATCAGTGACCACAGTAGAGACACAGGAGCTGACTGCGCCCCCTAATGGTCATTCCAGAAAGCGTTTAAGCACAAAACCCACTAACAACTGTGCCACAATAGTTTCTTTTTTCCACCCATCAGGATTCAAAGATTAGGGGCTTTCCCTTTGTGTTCCATCATTGTCAAGTGACATAGAATGCAAGCTTTTCAGTCCAACCAATCAGATTCATTTGTTTCTTCTGTTGTTAGGAAACAGCCATAATGATTTTAGAGAACTAAAGATTCATAACAGACTATTTCTATTGCTTAAGGAGGAGGTGGGTCAGTTATTGTAAGGTTCCCTAATCCCCTAGGGCTTGGGAATATGAACTTTGTTTTATCCTGCCGGTAAAATGTAGCATGAAATCAAAATGGCAGTACCTAGGACAAGGTGCTTTTGCCTGTTCCTAACAACAGCAATAGCCCACTCTTTGGTACCAATTTCTTTCCTAGTTTGCTTTTTTGTTGCTGTGATGAAACACTGACCAAAACCAACTTGGGGGAGGAACGTTAACAGTCTGTCTTTAAAGGGATGTCAGGGCAGGAACTCAAGGCAAGATTACCTGGAGGCAGGAACTGAAGCTGCTTACTGACTGGCTCTTCATAGCTTGCTCAGCCTGTTTCTTATACTCTAAGGAGCACCCATCTAGGTGGGCCTGGCTGGGCCCTCCAACATCATTCATTTTAATTAAGAAAATATCCCACAAGTATGCCCCAGGTCAGAGGTCAGTCTGATGGAAGGAATTTCTCAGTTGGGGTCCCTCTTCCCACATGACTCAGCTTTTGTCACATTGACAAAAAAACTAACTAGCACTGAAGTGTTAATCAACTGCTCCACGTTTTATATTTCTGTTTCCTGCTTTTCTCTCTCTATCTTAATACTTGTTACCTTCCTGCATCCCATGTATTTTGCTTATTTATTTCTTGGCCACTATTTGTTCCCCAGTACTTAAATCACTGCTGATTTATAAAAGACCCTAAACACAGTTGACAAATAAATGATTTATTTTATTTGCTTTAAAGTATAGATGCTTTCCACAGTTAACAAAAATAGTCGTTATGTAAATTGAGATTGACTGAGAAAACATTTTTGATAGGACCATCAAAGAGCTGCAAGGCCAGTTGGCTTATGAGCGACTCCGAAGAGAAAAGTTAGAGTGTCAACTGGATGAATATCGAGCAGATATGGATCAACTCAAGGAAATGCTGAAGAAAATTCAGGCCCCCAGTGTCGTGGCTATGGTTGGTGTTCTTAACACATTTATTTTCCTTCATAAACAGTATCTAGAAGAGGCTAAGATTGTAAGTTTTGGGTTGGGGCTGGATTTGAATCCTGTCTATAATCTTTTTTGATGTGGGTAAAAGCTTTTGGCCTATTTGAGCTTGTGTTACAAACTAGAGCTAACTCTACTTTCTAGAACTGACATCAAGATTGTGAATCTGACACCATTTGCCACTGTGAATAAGCATTATTATTTTGCTTTCTGGAACTGTACTTTGAGTTTCAAATACATAACTTTTGTTATTAAAAAAAAAAGCTGAAGTCAAAAGGGCAAGAATTTAGATGATTCCACCTGGTGTCAGTTTTTCTAGTAGAAGAAACAATGTCCCCACAAAGTCCCATATCAGCAACACCTGAACAAACCAAGAAACATAGAATGAGACAGTAAAATAGAGTTTCTCCTGAAACTTAACTTGGAATTACCCAAGTTCTTAAAGACAAACTTTGTCTGAATTTTTGACAAGTACAATAAGAAAATGAGAGTGAATGACTTATAATTCAGTAACAGTGTGTAAAAAGCATGTGTGGATTTGGAGTTAGGCAGATTAAAATCACAGCTATCTAACAAAAAGTTTATTTTATCTGGCACTAGGTTTCTCAATTAGCAATATGAAACATTGCATCCTAAACAAAAAGCCTTGATGTTAATCCCAGTATTTAAGCAACAATACCCATTATTGATGATGACAGAAATTTCAAAGTGTGTTAAATGATCTCATGAAACTTAAATTTCAGT